TATTTCATTGCTGAAGAGAGGAAGCAAAGGCAAGAGCATATCAAAGGGCTTGAGTCACTGAAGAAAAAAGCCAAAGCAGTCTCAGAGTTCAATGCCAAGGTTACCAGTTTCATTGAAGAGTATGCCTCCAAGGGGAAGAATGTTCACAATGAGGAAGATGCGAAGTCCCTACCAGTTTCTATGCTCAAGTTGTTGTGCAAGTGGAAGCAACAAAAGAAGGTTCCTCCAAAGAAACAAGAATTGCTTGATCTTTGGTTTGAAGTGAAGGATATTTCTTTCCCTCCAGAATTTGCTTGGAGTGATGAAGATGAGAMMCAACTGCAAAGACTGAAAGAAGATGAGATTACAATCAGGGATACTGCTCTAGGAAAAGAGAGAGCAAGGCTCCAAAAAGAATCCCTGAACTACATTGCAAGCATGACTGAAGAAGAGAGGGCTGCTTGCAATATGCCCTTGAATGTGCTTGAGGGACTGAAGGAGATGGTTGTTGGTGAAATTGCAGAAGTGTAAGAGTGATTTATGTTAAGAGAAATCTGTTCTTGGAATCGATTCCGATTTCGATTTTATTGCATGCAAATAAGCAGTGTCCGGATGTCGATTTTGTTTCGCCGACGTGAATTCTGAGAGTAAAAAAGCTTGGAGCGACGTCGATAATCGGAGCGACGTCGATAAGAGTGAAGCCCGGTAGTTAGCGCCTTAGAGAGCGCTCCAGTAGTAAGCAATTTAGTAATTTTATGTTAAGAGAAATCCGTTCTTGGAATCGATTCTGATTTCGATTTTATTCCATGCCAATAAGCAGTGTCCGGAAGTCCATTTTGTTTCAAAGATCTGAATTCTGAGAGGAAAAAAGTGAGCTCGGAAAGCTCCGAAATAAGGAAAAAATTCGATATAAAATAGTCCCTTTTCAAGGGGTGTGACAGGTTCAAGTTGGGAACGCAAATGAGGTGTATTGTTCTCTCCGTAGAGCCGTGTACAATTTGTACTGGTTCCGGACCTGTCACCACCTCATTTGCGTTCCAACCTCGTACTCGCACACACAATAGTACTGATGAAGCAAGAAAACAGAACATCTAACATCCTGTATTAGAAATAAATGTGCTCAACCAGTTAGTGTACTAGGATGTTGAGACGGTTGAGATCAGGTAAGGTGGTGATTGAGTCAAATAAAGTGTTCACTATCGTATTGTTCTCTATTTCTTTGAAATATGAGCTCTCCACCTAGATCTAATAATCAGGGCCTCTGTCCGGTATTCACTCCTCTTCTTGTACTCTTTTCTTTGCTCCTTGTTAGTAGCTAGTACTAGCTTCTTCATCCCCGCCCATCAGAATCCTTTTAATCTCCTTGTTGTTGTTCTTCTTCTTAGTACGTTTGGTGGATGTACGTCACGTAGATCTCTTCTACTAGTACTACTTCAACACTTCTTCATCTCATCAGCAGCTGTTCATACTAGCGCCAGCGTCAGACTCAACAGCTGTCTACAGCCACCAGTTAGCTACCTTCAACTGTTCACAACTTCCCTTGTGACCTTCATACCTATCATAGAAGTTGGCCAGCTAATGTACAGTTCCAGCCGTGTATTCGTGGCCATCTTTTTTGCGTGTAATGACTAGAAGTAGTAATTCAACTAAAACGTACAAAATGCACGTRCTCAGTAGTGTTAATTTTTGAATCCCACATCTGTGCGACCAAGAAATAGGTTCGCTCGGACGTGCGCGCTGTAGCCCTGGTACAAGTCAAATTTTAATCCCACGAGTCATTACACCGTAATCAGATGCCCCAAAATCCACGCACAGTACAAAATGGACGCTTAAGTATGATTGATAAGCACATGGTTGAAAAGAGAATTCAAAGAGCTTTCTAATGGCGTGGGGGATTACGGCATACGACGAATGTTGAAAGATATACGTGTACGTATATCATGAATTGCTGATGTACGGATTGTGGAATACTAATAGGCTCCTTAGTGTATGTGAATACGTGGTTTACAATAAAGAGTGAGCTTATTCACTATCTACTAGTGATTTAGGCTCACACCACCCCGCACTTGCAGAATCTAGAGACTCGAATGAGTCAAATGTAGTATTATGTAGTATTATGTAGTAAATCTTGTAGTGGATCTAGATTGCAAGTGGAGCAAGATGATCCAATGTACGGTAAGTCGACCTGTTGGAGTGAGACTTTATTGGTCGAAATAGTGGATATTTCTGCTTTATCCTCAATAACTGAGGGGTTTTGGGTGGTTGTCGAGTGGGGATATGTATATTCTGGTTGAACACGTTCATTCTTTCAGTCCATGGATCCCCTCCAGATACATGGAGCGTGTGATACTACATGGGCATCCGACAGACTCCAGAGGAGATCAATGGGAGGTGTTATCATGATGTTAGCAGGAGCCGCTGTGTACTATCGGACCAGATTACAACCCACTATTGCTCAGAGCTCCACAGAGGCTGAATTCACTAACATGGCAGATGCCAGAAAAGCAGCTTTATACCTTCGATGGATTCTTGAGGAGCTCCATCTTGCTCAGACACAACCTACCCCTATTATTGCGGATAACCACGGTGCAGTCAGAATGGCCAATGCACACCAACCAACACGGAGGACACGCCATGTTGAAATGAAACACTTTGTTATCCTCCAATGGACAGATGATGAACATATTAACTTTGTGTAAACCAGATCTGATCATAACCTGTGGAATACTAATAGGCTCCTTAGTGTATGTGAATACGTGGTTTACAATAAAGAGTGAGCTTATTCACTATCTACTCGTGATTTAGGCTCACACGGATAACCGTCTTTTTTTGCTATTGTGGATGCATTTTAGTGACCCTAGAGATAACCCTCATTCTTTATAATTTTATCCAGTCTACAGGTAGAGATTCTCGATGTTTTAGACACTTTCCACGTACGAAAGGAACGATACGTGTGAATTCAGCGGTCATCATCCTATCAGCATCCAAACACTGCGACGTACTACCGGTAAGTTAGTTCTGTGTCTCGCCTCCTTGCTCGCTTCCACAGCTTAAATCCTACCAAGAAATCTCTGTTCCAACATACCTGTAGGACACTAAGGATGATATGGTTGTTCCACCTTTGACAACAGAACCGAAGACGAAAAGAAAAAATGAGAACATCGACATGAGCCAAAAAACGAATGGGGAGAATAAAAAATCATACCAACAATGAGTAGGGCAGTGACGGTGGAGGAGTTAATGAAAACAATTGACCCGAATGAGATTGACCAGACTCTTTCGCAGGAACTCAATAAATTAAGCTTCGAAACCAGAGAACCCATCAACGAAGAGGTCCACGGCGTTCAATGTCTTGCTCCCGATGAAACCGTAGAGCTACTATCTTCATCGTTGCTGAATCTTTCTACTGAAATCGAGGCGATTTTTGTGAAACCAGCCTACAACAGGAGCCAAAAACTAGCACTGCTGCAACCGTATGCCTACCGTGGTGCCGGAACGTACATAAACACGGCAGACTTCCGTCTAAAGTTCTTGAGGTGCGAACTTTTCGACGCAAAAAAAGCAGCCAAGCGTCTCGTATGTTTTCTAGATTTATTGATGTTTGTCTTCAATGATAACGATGAGCTCCTCTTGAGACCACTAAGAATTTCAGATATTGGCGAGTCACAAATGGCTGTCCTCAGAAGTGGTCAATTTCAACTTCTGCCATATCGAGATCGTAGTGGGAGACGGCTGCTTACAATTTTACTGAACGCGGGTATGAATCATAACTTTGTTGAATCTGTAAGTTTGCATCATAATCACTAGGTTGTCTGCATGCTGCGAAACTACTTGTAACGAAGGAAGTTTGTGCCTTGATGTTTGACCTGGCCGTCCTTAACGTTTCGTTTTTTATTCCACTAAATGGTTCAAGCAGCTTCAAGCGGTCTTTTATTTGCTTTATGTAGCTGCGGAAAGTATAGAAAGCCAAAGAAAGGGGATAGTTATGCTCATGCTATCATGCACGTTTGCGGGGGAAGAATCATCCTTCTCCGCACTCCTGCCTGGACCCAACGACCAGAGGATTGCAGCGAAATTGAACGTCGCAGCCCCTATACGGCAAAGTGCCATTCACATGTGTTTTCCAGATACAATCTATCATCGAATGTTTCGGTCTGTCGTCATGTTGAGTCATATGTCTTCGAACGCGACGAAATTTCGAATCAAAACACATATTGGTGCGTACCGTAGCAGTTTCATAGTACAATAGTATGTTGTTTTTAATCCGCATACTCAATTGGTTGCAATTCGTTTACTTTTCCAGGCCATTGGACGGAACTGCAGTACCAGTTGATGGGTTTTGGAATTCCTGTAGATGCGTTGCCCATATCACAGAAAGGAACGCTTAAAACGGCGATGCTTCAGCAATGGATACGGCTTCGAAAATTAATGGAAACTCCTTCCGGGCAAGACGGCGCCAGTTCTGAAGAGGATTCTAGTATTTCTGCTTCTGATATTTCATCTGCCATCGAATGTCCAAACCTGAACGATGTGATTTTTCGAATGGGGAAGTCTTGTATGTGTCACCCGGGGAATGTAATGTTTCGAAGCCTGATCGAATCCAAACTCGATGAACATTATAGCGCCACTCGAAAAGGAAAGGCCAAGATAGCCTGGTGGATTGTCAAAGAAGTCGAAAGAAGGGGTGGACGCTTTTTGAAGTGGAACAGCCATGGGTGGTGGACCGAATTCGAAAACCAATCGGAGGTTCGATACAAAATTCCTACATGCTTTCGAGATTTTTCAAGAAACAAGACGGCGCGAAAAAACCGGGTGAAAACGAATGCAACTACACAACACAAGACACAACAAAACGGATGCATCGACTTGTGCGCAACAAACAATAAGGAAGAGAATACATCCTTATTATAGGGAATAAAAAAGATCACTGACGACGATTGCACCTCGTCGATTTTATAAATGCGTCTTTTTTACCGGGAGATCCGAATTTTCTCGACATCATACCCCTTGTATGCAGATAAATGAAACAACGAATCCATAGATTTAACACCAGAGACCAAAACGGAAGATCAGACACAATCAGTACCCATTGACATTTTGTCGCGAATGATACAACTTAGTGGCGCCGTGTCTCTCAGAGCTCTGTCCTGTTCTCTTCTGGATCATTTTTTTGATTTGGCACGAATGAAGTATGGGTTTGGTGCTATCTTTGAATTTTTCGACGGCGCACGTCGATACAACATTCGAGGTGTCACCCATTCTGCACAAAGCAGAAAGACTAAAAGGAAAATACCTTAGATACGATTTAAAATGCTCTCGGGCATGGTTTGGTGTTGTACTTCATTACACGGTTGCGTTATTTTTTGTGTTAGCCTAGTTTTTTCATTTGTCGCATGGTTTTGGTCTCCTTAAATTCCGGTCTCTCGTTCAGCAACTCGGTAATGATGGCTGAAGTGGGATCTTCTTCGCACGACCCTAATCGAATGCACGTGCTGTACTCCTCGTTGTTTGGGTAGTAATCGTCTTCTCGAAATGCAAATAGTTGCCAGTCGTACGGGTAAGCTTTCAAAGCGACGCACTGTTCTCCCCGCACGGAGAACACATTTAGTACGTAGGTTTCCTCGAAGGGAACGGCGTCGTCGTCACCGGTACCGCCGTAGATTACGTTTTCCGCCTTTTTCTTCGCACCCGGAGCCAAAATGTTGAATCCCCAGCTATCGATGTTTCTCCAGAACGGATTTACCAACAAAAACAACCGCTTTCCCATGGCTTGTGATATTTCGTCGATGTCATTCAGATACTTGGTATCGGTGTTTGGAAAGACCATTGCTTGAATGTCGGCACTAGGTCCTTCGGCGGCCTCGGCCGTATGGAGGGCGGTTCCATCAAAATCCCAAATATCTTGCACTTTCAGCTGTGGATTCGTTCGCCTTTCTTCGGGGAAGCTGTCCAACCGTTTCGTGGGAGCCCGGACTTCTCTCAGCAAGGCGTTGGTCAGCGGCTTTCCTGACTCGCGGTACATTTGCTTGGCACCCCCGGGCCATTGGTTTTCTTCGGTCGCCGACGATGCTCCGTCTTCTTCTCCCACAAGGTTGAATCGGACCACCTGGCGGGTTTTTCCGTCGTGAAAGGCCCTCTCGACGGCACGTGCTCCTTGTCGGACCATGTCGTCAAAGGTGACGGGCACTTGCAGGGTCGGTTGTTGCTGCGATTTCTGCTCCAGCTGCTCCTGCCGTATCTTTTCTCTGGCTTCTCGGTTTTTCTGTTCTTGCTTTTCCCTCTGGATTCGGGCCTGGCTGGCTTCTTCCTCGACCTGCTCTACGGTCTTTCCCTCGGCAGTCGCTATTTCGGCCCGCAGCTGTGCAGCCTTTTCGAGCAACCGCTGCGCGTCGCTGATGCTTTTGTCGGAAGAATTGCTGTCGGTGTTGGTGGTCGCGTACGAAACAGTGGTTGCTGCTTTTGACGAAGTCCTACCGTAGCTTATTGTTACAGATGTTGTTTGAAAGGCGACTATTTGAGCACTCAGCATTACGAAGGCCATGGCGACGATTGTGCCACAGCGGCGATGGGCAACGATTCTTCTCGGGGAGAATATGCTCGTCATTTTTCTGGTGTGAGATGTCATTCGGTGTGAGTTGCGATTGTTTTGTTGTTTGCTCGATTCTTTGTGCCTTTCTAACAGAAACGTCTCCAGGGGCACGATGATGCCTCTTCTGCAATTCGCATCCATCGGTGATCGTTGGATGATGCATTCCTTCATGGTGGCAGGTCGTGTACGAGTTCGTACTCGTACGTACTCGTACTCGTAGTACAGCTCGTAACATCATCGATCATCGTCACGAACGAACGACCAGCGGCGATGAAAAACGGTCAATACGAATTTTACTGTGCCATGTTGTAGGAACCAAGAAGATGATTCGATTTTTTCTGTGACTCGACCTGTGAGTCAGTCAGTCATTCAAGACTTGTAATTGGTTTCTTTTGTTTTTATGAGAATTCTTAAATATTAAATATTCTTAAATACTGTAATTATTACTGTGCAGGTATTTGGTTTATTCCCGTCATTATAGATTGCTAAATGTGCTAAATCTATGAGTTTAGCACTTACTGAGAGGAATGCTGGCTCGATGCCACCAGTCCTCTTTTTGGAAATTTGGAATCTTGTTAATTATTGTTCACGTAAAGACTACTACCACCTCGTCCGTCCAGATATAATAGTTCACTTTGCACCTCTTCAGTTGAAATAAGCTCAATATTTGGGCAATTTGACTGCTTCTTTTTTTGTTTAACAGATCTATTATAAATGTATACAAGTATATGGATTGAATTAATTGAAAGTGTCTGATGCACTTGTGCTATTTAGTAGTTAAAGAGGGCCATTTTTTCTTATGAATATGATGAAAATACTGCCAGTTGGGTTCTACTGGTCATTTTGAGATGCCACTACTTGCACATGATAGCTAAGAGCAACACATTTTTGAGGCTTTAATTCTCTTCAGTATGGAGAACTTTCTATTATTGGTCATTCTTGTTCAAAAGAGGTGCCCAGTGCCATTGTCAATATATTGTTTCCGGTGTTAATAGATTGCTTAATTTCATGTGCAAAAATAATTTTTATTTGCGGGCATGCACATGTTTAGTACTCAGTACGGATTGTATGTGTTGTACACAGTCATACACAGTCATTTGTAGAATCCAACGGCCAGAAACTCCAAAAACTGTTAAGTAATGCTGACCAATTATTTCTGGAAAAATTGAGAAGTACTGGGCCCTCCGTTAGTTTTTAAGGAAGACAGTCGCCAAACAAGATCAGGGTTTCCCATAGGTTTTTCCATGTTTAAACAAAGAGAAACAAAGAGAGAATTACCAAGGCAATATTATCTTTGTTTCTCTTTGTTAAAAATTGACAAATCAAAGAGAAACAAGGAGAAGCAATGTTCTCTTTGTTTCTCTTTGTACGAATGGGAATTGCCCCCATCATTTCACTATGTAAAAATACAGAGAATAGTGCCCAGATTGAATTCACTCTGCTTAAACAAAGAGAAACAATGAGAACATAGCCCAGGCAATAGTCTCTTTGTTTCTCCTTATTTAATCAATGTGAAACAAACAGAAACAAGGAGAGGCAATGTTCTCTTAGTTTCTCTTTGATACAACAACAAGAAACAATGAGAATATTGCCCTTTTTCACAAAGAGAAAGATTCTCTTTGTTTCTCCTTGTTTTGCGGGATGTATGGGAAACTATTTTATTTTTAAAAAAATTCTAACTGAGGACCCTGCAAAGTGTACTATTACATCTGGACGGAGGTAGTAGTACTAGAAAGACTTAAATGCGCGCTACTTGGTACAAAGAAAAACACAAAATTAAGAACACAAAATTTTGGATCAATACTCTAGTGGAAGGGACAGATCACAAGGTATTCAGGGAGCTTGTGGACCTGTTTGCTCCAGTATACAACAAGTTTGCTGTTGACAACAAGAACATTGAAATCATGGAGGTTCCTTGTTATCCCAGTGAAAAGCCCAAGGGGAAGAAGAGAGGTCAATGCAGTCTGTGACATTGGACTAGTCCTCTGTTGGTTAAGGACAAGAGGATCTGCTGCAAGGTCAATGGCCGTGGCCTTTGGCTTGACATCCACAGTGATGTACAAGTGACTCAAGTTTTTGAGAAGAGTGATGCTTGTCTCTTCATAAACACCCAGATGCCATGGTCAGTGTTCCTTCTGAGCAAGAAGTCAATGCTTATGTTAAGGCTATTGGAGATAAGTATCCAAGGCTTAGAGAACAGTGCATTTGGGGTGCTGCTAATGGACTGAAGCAAGTAATTGAAGCCTCTGGTGACTGGTACAAACAAAGACCATTCTACAATGCCTGGTGGAAGGAGAACACCTACATCAATAGTGTGTTTGCCTTTGCCCCAGATGGTAGAATAAGGATTGTAGTGTACAACTGCCCCAGGGCTTGGCATGACAGTGCTATTGCTGAACACAATATGTACCAAAGAATCATGAATGTCCACAAAGAGTGTGATCGTGGAAAGGTTGTGGTGGATTCAGCATTTGCTCTGAAAGATTACAAAAATAGCCTCATCAAGAGCTCACAGAGGGACCCAGAACAACCAGACTTGATACTCCTCAACAGGGATCCAACGTCGTTGAGACATATGTCTGAATGGGGGATGAGGGTGATCCAGGGATGTGCTTGGAGGAGCATGGGGAAAGAAGAATCACCATGAACCTTCTCATCAACTTGTATAACTTCCAGTGCAGTACCATTGGACACAACCAGATCCTATCAGCTTTCATGAAGACACCACTAGCAACTGATCCCAAGGTTCCTCATGAAGAGTTAAGGAATGACCTTGCAGTAGGAAATTCATGTAGGACATGGGCTCTCCCCCGATGGAAATGAGATGTTCCATGGATGAGGGTGAATCCCATGGTCGATTAATGTCATTATTTTGAAAGAAGGAAGTAAAGCTACAGCAGGCACCAGTTAGAATCATCATGAGCAATTCCAATTCAATAGAATCAATACAGTTGTTTTGATACGGCAATTGATACAACCATTGTGGAGAAAGATACAATGGTTACTTACCTTAGCCTTGTTTTAATCAGCAGTACTCTATTTGGTTGCAAACAGTACTCATGTTGATATAATGAACTGATCCACTTCAAGCTGTTTTCTTAGGGTTTGCATATATACCCTTGCAACTTGGCTGCTATGTTTCTCAATAAACACAAATGATCATGTAGATAACAATTTATACTCCAATGAATATTAGTTCAGCATTATGGTATAGGGTGGGCCAAGCAAAAAAACACGGTTATAACCGTACATTGGCAATTAAAGATATACATAAACAAGTATAAGTCAATATTCGTCGTACGCCGTACTCCCCCACGCCATTCGAAAGCTCTTTGAATTCTCTTTTCAACCATGTGCTTATCATACTTAAGCGTCCGTTGGGGAAAAAGTTATTGCCCAAACTGTCAGTTCGGGACTAAAGCAGTTATGCGGTTAAATTATACATATGCGTGGATTCGTGGCCATCTTTTTCCCGTGTAACGACTCGTGGGATTAAAATTTGACTTGTACCAGGGCTACTACATCATGCACGTGCGAGCAAAACTATTTTGGTGGGATTCAAAAATTCGATTACGTACGAGTACGTACTGAGCACGTGGATTTCGTATACTGAGCACGTGGATTTCGTATATAATTTTTAGTCAAAGTAGTCATTACACGCAAAAAGATGGCCACGAATCCAAGGTTATAACCGTACATTGGCTGGCCAAGCCTATACGATACTGAAATGAAGACAAGTTTATGATGCACAACATGTGCATGCTGGTCCGAACCATTTTTGCGGGACTTTGCACGTGCCAATAGAGGCCAAACAGTTTCTAATCCCGCATTGAAATACATGAAAACCTTTACAAGAAAACCGGAGCAAGCAGCTGTACAGTAGCTACTAGATCAGTATGTGATAACACAGTAACATAGTGGTGCAAGTGGACTGCAAGCTCAAGCTCAAGCTTATTGTTTTCAATTACAGTACCACAGGTACAATTTTGTTTCGTTCAGTTTAGTTTAGTTCCTCATGTGCCTGGTGCTTTTCACCATGGGATTCTTTGTCCCCAGTGTGTTGGTGGTTTCACTGCTGGGGACCAGAAGAATTCATTGACACAGCAGTTGTGGAAGCAGCAGACATGGCAGCAGAGAGAAGCAGTTGGTGGAGGACCATAGTGATCGTAGGGGGAGGAGGCCCATGGTAAGATTGTTACTGTTGCCACTTATTGAACATGGTAACAGCAGTTCTGAGAACTTCCTTCCACATCTCATGGTTCTCTTTGTACATCTCACGGTTCTCTTTGTCTCTTCTTTCCTCTCTTTTTCCTGGCTCTTAATGTATTCATTGAATGTAGCGGCATCCAAGACACTACATTTCCTCTGTTGCTGATAAGATTTCTTCCTTGGGGTTGATTCAAGAAGAGAAGGGGTCAAATTGCTGGAGGAACCTACAGCAGCAAAGTCATCCTGCTCCTGTTGTTCTTCTCCACCATCAGTAGATGCGTCTCCTGCAAGAATGATTGAAGCCCCGGCAGCATCTGCACCACTTGTTGTTGCCCCTGAAGGCCACAGCCTCACTCTTAATGAAGCCTTTCTTCATATCAAAGTCCTCCTCACCAGTACAAAGATTTGTCTTCTCAGCAATCACCAGTTGTTTCTTCCAAGGGGTGGTTCATTGTTTACTAGTAGGAGGCATTGGCATGGTAAGAAAGAAAGTAATGATGAAATGGATTGGCAGATCAGATGAAAAGATTGTGTGGAGGATCTGATGAGAGGTATCTTACTAGGATACCGTGTTGGTGCTTGTAGAGGTAGTCAGAAGACAGGTGACAACAGCAGAGCTGTAGTACGCAGCCTTTGTAGGAGTCTACAGGAGGTCCTAGTACTAGGTTCTGAAGAATGTGTGAAATGCAAATTGATGAATCATCCTGGTGGAATACAATACATGATGTGTCTGCTGGCACTGCAGTGTCACAGAGCCTATTGCCACAAGATTCCAGGGGCAGGGGAGTGCAATGGGTTGATAATGGTTATTGCCATGGGGATTCCAGTGGCAGGAGAGTGCAATGGGTTGATGATGGTGGTGGTTAATGAGCAAGGAGGTAGTCAGTTATAACCAACAAATGTACAAGGGCTCTTTATAGGTGTATAACTAAGTGTTTACAATAAAGAGTGATTGTCTGTGGTTGAGATCACTGATTAGCTACTTGTGATTCAGCCTCGCACAACTTCTTTGTTTTCAGTTTCATAGAAATTTGAAATTTGAATTCCCCAACAATCCTCCATCCTGAACTGAAAAGCAAATCAGACTTTGAAGTAGTAATTCTCATATCTTCTTGTTTCAAAAAAGTGAGAAATACCAAGTAAGTACCCAAACGGGTCCAAATTACAACGTGAAATTGCTTACTACTGGGGTGCTCTCTAAGGGGCTAACTACTGGAAGGTGCTCTTACACTTCAACAACTTCACCAACTACAGGATCAGCATCAACAAATCCTTGACTCCCTCCAGTACCTCAATAGTAGGCATATTGGAAGCAACTCTCTCTTCTCAGTCAAGCTTACAATGGAGGACAGCGCTTGGTTGTTCAGTCTACTATCCTTCCATGTGCAGTCTCTCTGATAGTTATCTCATCCTCTTTTAGTTTATTTAGCAAAGTCTCATGAGTATCAGTCCATCCTTTACTTGCATCCACATTTCCAACAGCTTGTCTTTCTTTGCAGGAATTTTCTTTTGCTGCTTCCACTGGCACAAAACCTTCAGAGTAGAAACTGGGAGGGACTTGGCATCTTCCTCCTTCTTAACATCATCTTTTCCCTTGGAAGAAAAATTATCAATCAAACCAAGAGCTTTGTTGCTCAAACCTTCTGCTGCTTTTGTAACCTTCTTCTTTGCTTCCAAGTGTTTAATCTCATCCAATTGTCTGCTTCTTTCTTTTGCAATGAACCAGTCCTTTGTGTTGAGGGTGCCTTTGCCAGTTGTGATGAAGTATTGGCTTGAATACTTAACCCCTGCAATTGCATCTTGCAGAGCTCTGGTATTTGGTTCTGTCCCTTGTTGTACCAACTGCTTCCTCTTTTGTGGTGCATATTCTATGCAAAAAACTTCCCCATTAAAGCTAGCATTGTTCAATACTTTAATTGCTGCAAAATTCTTTTTCTTGTGCGCTACCAGTGCAGCTATGTTTGGATCTGTTGCTAGATCAATGGAGCCATCTGGCAAAAGGATCAGTTTGTGTTGCAGCAAACAGCAAATAACGGGTAATACTACTGTTGTACTACTACTCTTCCAATATCAAATTATACTGACAAGAGAGGACATGCATCATCAATCATCATACCTTTAGCACTACTACAAGTACTACTACTACGTTTCACAAGAGTTTATACTAGTATCAATCAGCACCACTACCATCAGTAATGAGGAGGAAAAGCAGACAGCTCTATCTGCCTCGATTCCTCGTCCTCGTGACCTCAGGAAGGACGACATAATAGATAAATATGAGCGTGTTAAAATTCTCGTCGTGGATGTTTGAAGTGATACGGTTTTCATGAATGGACCTCAGATTTTATGCTCTCCGCTTGGTGCAATTCAAATAAACTACAATTTTCAGGTTAAAGACTTCTTTAATGTCACAGAATCTGCTCCTATAGCAGGGGCAGAAACTAGAGTATCTCTTTTCCGAAAGACTGTTTTCCCGCAATAAACAGATGCAATGGATGCTGCGAATTTATCAATCGATCTCTGTTTTTCCTGGTTAACGGTTTCGTATCGATTTTTCATAAATTGCGTTTTCACAGAAAACAGACGGCTCGTCGAAGACAAAGTCGCGCTCACACGAGCTGCTTCTTGTTTTGCATCACACCAATACTCTTCTCTTCATTGAAATCCGGCAAATGCCGTATTCAGAAATTTTTAGTTTAGGGAAAGGTTGGGGATATCGGGCATGTCTTCTTTCTCTGTCTTCTCCTCCTTTTTGTCATCATCAGCTGTTGCTTCCTCCTTCTTGTCGTCTTCAGCTTTGTCGTCATCGCCCTTTTGAGCTGCGGCCTTTTCCCGTAGAGCCTTGGCTTGCTCCAATTGGGCATTTCCTTGTTGCAATCGTTTTTTCATTTGCTCTTCCATTTCTTTCATCTTCTTGGGATCACTCATGGCTTCTTTCTGGGCCGTCATGTGGGTTTTGAAACCTTGCGATTCGGTAACTTTTTTCATGTGTTCTTGAAATTTAGGATCGGCCATCATTTTTTGGGCTTCAGCCATGATCTCGGGATCCTACAAATGCKACCAGCCATCGCGTTTATAATAATCGACACAAACCAATCGCCGTTCCGACCATTTAGAAAAAAGAAACAGAAGACTTCGGGTAAGAAAACAACAGATCAGGTAGATTGCACGATTACTTTTATGGAGCAAAACTTTGATAGTAGGCGTATGTAATCTGTCCAAGAACCTCTGGCGAATCTCGATCGCTGTGCCTGATACACCGCATGAAGAAAACAATTTGTGGACCCAACACGCTTGGTTTCATTTCATTTTTTTCTCGCAGTATTTTTCCTCCACCAAAATGTTACATCCAGTTCGTAGCTTATGTTGCCAAAGCCCGATGGAATCGTTCACCGGAATTGGCGTTTTGGAATCAGGCTGCCATTCGATCATCACCAGTCAAAAGCTCATCATATCCTTTGGCCTCGAAATATCTTGCGACAAAGTTCCGTATCTAGCCGCCGTTTGCTATGTCGTGCGTTCCTACAAGACTAACCTACCTGAAGATCCTTCATGAGCTGCGCCAACATCATATTGTTCATCATCGTGGAAATTTGGCTGCCTGCAGTATTAATTAAAATATGGAATACCTATTACTTCGTTTGTGCGCCGATACTTCATCACAACACGAAAGGCATGATTCGACAACGACACCAAGCAACCCCCAAATCCTAACGGTATTTGAGACTGGAAATTTTCGTTCCTCGATTAGAAAAATTATAGAACGTCATCACCATGTGCCATCTGGAAGTTCAACTTGAGTTACCGATAGCGACAAAAACGAGACGTGAACCGTGGACATATTCGCGACTAAAGCAGGGACGATCATCATTGAAGATTTTACCACGCACCTTTGCTACTAGACCCGTTACTGGAATGGAACCAGCAGGCGCAGCTTATCACACAAAATGAAGCATATATGCAGTCCCAGGACCTCCAAGAAACTATTACTACCAGAATTTCTACCAGAATTGCTACCATCTTGCGACTAAAATTGCTACCATCTGGTAGCAAAATGGTAGGAAGATGGTAGCTAGATGGTAGCAATTCTAGTCGAAATCTGGTAGCTACTACCATTTTTACCATAGTAAATATTTTCTATAATAATTAGATTCTCTTAGCCCCCGTATTCGTTTGAATGAGTCATAGTACTTAAGAGGGGGCTGGGATGTTAAAAAAAATTCTGGTAGCCTGGCATATATTTTGGTAGCGTTTGTGGTAGCAATCTGGTAGCATTGATGGTAGCAAGATGGTAGCAATCTGGTAGCAAGATGGTAGCAATTCTAGTCGGATTTTGGTAACTGGTAAGAATACCGGATTGCTACCATAAATCCTACYAGATTSTGGTAACTGTTCTGGTAACGCCAGCAAGTTACCATTCTTATTGCCAGACTATTGCCTGGTAGCGAGCCCGGCGTGGTAAAATAGTCAATGATGATCATCCCAGATTGACTAAATAGACACGAGAGGCATTTCGTTCGACAATGGGCAATTCCCTTTAATCTAGATGGTCTAAAAATCTAAAGTAGACCTTTTAGACTTTTTAGTTTAACGGGAATCATTAAAAACAGGGGCCCAACAGACATTTTTAGGCGCTCGTTCTGGTCTTAAAGGAATTTGGAATCTCGGCATCTTTGTTTATGTCTTCTTCAGCGCTTTCTGATTAAGAGAAGGTTTGGTTACGTAGTAAAAAAATTTTAAGTCTTAAATTTGGCGGGTCTTTTCAGTTGAGTCCTACAACAGATTTTCATTCTTGGATTCTGGTCTACTAGATTTAGACTTTCTGTCAAGGGTGGATTGTGCGTCGACAGAAAGTCTAAAAATTCGGACTAGATTGTCTATTTTTGGTCTGTCTGTCTGTCAAAAAGTAGACCATCTAAATTAACAGGAATTGCTCAATGATCAACTTGTACAACTACCAATGCAGTACCATTGGGCACAACCAGATCTTGACAGTCTTCATGAAGATGCCGCCGGCCTCAGCAATGCAATTCCAGTGATCTGCAGGCGAGTACCGGTACAACTATTTGGTACCGTATGGTAGTAAATGGGTGATTCCCGATAATATAGAAATGCTAAATTTGATAGACAGACGGACCAAAAATCTAGCACATTTTGTAATAGATTTGGCATATTTTGGATGGGTCCAACGGACCGATCCAAATGTGCTAAATCTATGAGGGAACCCACGAATCAAAATTTCAAGTCCGTTGTAAGATTCAACAGAAAGGCCCGCCAAAATTAAGACTAAACAAGAAGATACGAGCATGCGTCATGGTCAACAAACATCCAAGGCACCTCTATTAAGAATGGTGCCCAGTTGGGACACAAAAGTAGTATGTCTTGATCAGTGCTGTTAGTCAGTACATTCTATTTCCTTTCTTTGTTGCAGCAAGAGGAGGAGGACAAGCAACAAGAGGAGCAGGCCCATTGTTGTCCTCCCATCCCCCACACTATATTTGTTAAGATGGAGGCAACTGCTGGTGGCAATATCGGCTGCAAGACTGCTCAGCCTGCAAGTGGTGGCAATAACGGCCGCAAGAGTGGTACTATTAACTACTCATGAGAGGAGATCACCAGTCTCATCAAGGTTGATACTGGATGTACTCCCCACATGTGGTGAGGGATGGGAGTGCATTACAGCAAAACATGCTGAGAGTTGGCCTGTTGGTAGGACCATGACCTCCATCAAGACTAGGTATGCAGCTGTGAGGAGGATCAAGAGCTCCACCAGAAGTCCCAACATGCCGGAGTACATGAGGATGGCCCGGCTAGCCCACAAGTTGATTGGTGAAAAGGCAAATCTTGGTACTGCAGAGGAGGACTTTGATCTGGAGCAAGGCTTCATTAAGAGTGAGGCTGTAGCTGGTTTACTACAGCTGCAACTGCCGGATTGACGAATGCAGGAGCTCCAATTCTTCTTGCTGGAGATGAATCCTTGCCAGAAGAACAGCAGGAGCGAGAGGAGTATGCTGCTGTTGCTTCCTCCTCTGCTGCTGCCAGTAACTTGACCCCTTCTCTTGTTGAATCTACCCCAGCAAAGAAGAGATCTTACCAAGGAGGACAACAAAGGAAAACTGTCCCCAACGCCAGTGTATTCAACAAATACATTATTAAGCAGGAACAAAGAGAGGAAAGAAGAGACCAACTCAGTATTGAGATGTGGAGTGGTGTAAAGGACGTAGCAGAGAAATTCCTTGGAGCAGCTCTTAGCATGATGAATACCTGGCAGCAGCAGCAACAACAACATTCTTACCATGGTCCTCCTCCTCCCGGTCCCCCTACCCCCTACCATTATCATTCCTATGGTCCTCCTTTGGTTGCATTGACTGTCAAAACATTGGCTGCTGCTTGGACTTCCAACAAACGCAAACGCACAGGAGAGGAAGAATCCCATGGTGAAAAGAAGCACCATGGTCCTGGCGTTTAAATGAGTACATTCTTACATTACATTAGACTAAATTAACTAAACTATACTGTATCTGTCCTAATACAAAACAATGAGCTTGAGCTTGAGCTTGTTAGTTGGTTAGCGTGTTGTCACGTACTTTTCTAGTAAGCTTGCTTATAAAGGTTTTCTTGTGAAGGTTAACGTGTACACCAATGCGGGATTAGAACTGTTTTGCCTGTATCGGCACGTGGGAAGTCCCACAAAAACGGTTTGGATCAGCATGCACACGTTGTGTATCATAAACTTCTTTTCGTTACAGTATAATGCTGAACATTACAGTATAAATTGGTATGTACTCCATCATTTGTGTTTATCAACAAAGCACAGAAGCCAGGTCACAGGGGTATACATGAAAACCCTACTTCGGTAGCAGCTCCTACAGTAGGAACTATTTCCCCCCCCCCCCCCCGGGGAACAGTTCATATTGCTTGCTGCAAGCAAACACTGAAAGCAAACACAGTGTTGCCAGTTCAAACCAGGCAAGGAAAGTAACTATTGCATCCTTTCCACCATGATGGTGGTTATCGTACGCGCCTTAGTGTGTGTTGCTTGTATTGTGTCGGCGTTTTGAAATCGTTGCTGTTGTTCTTGCTGTTGAAAGAATTAAACAACTTGTTGCTGTTGAAAGAACTACTACTAACAAACAACTAAACATGCCTCTTCTGAAACAACCAAAGAAGCAAATCAACCATGGGATTCACCCTCCAAACATTCCATTCCCATCTGGCGAAAGCACACATCCTACATGGAAGTACCCACGTGCAAGATCGTTGCATATGTGGGGGACATCCGGGTCAGTAGCTGGTGGTGTCCTCATGAACGTCGATAGGATTTGGTTCTGTCCTACATAACTACACTGGTAGTTATACAAGTTGATAAGAAGGTTCATTGTGATCTTTCTTTCCCCCTGCTCCTCCAAGCACATCCTGTCTTTGATTCTAGGGAACTGTCCCTGGATCATGCGCATTCCCCACTCTGACATCTGTCTCAAGGAGGTCGCGTCCCTGTTGAGAAGTATCCACTCTGGTTGATCTGGGTCTCTCTGTGAGCTTTTGATGAGGCTATCCTTGTATTCCTTCAGGGCAAATGCTGAATCAACCACACCCTTTCCACCACACTCTTTATGGACCTCCACAATCCTTTGATACACACCATGCTCGGCAATGGTGCTGTCGTGCCATGCCCCAGGGCAGTTGTAAACTGCTATACGGATCTTTCCATCAGGGGCAAAGGCAAATACACTATTTACATATGTGTTCTCCTTCCATGCATTGTAGAATGGTGGTCTTTGTTTGTATCAGTCTCCTGAGGCTTCAATCACTTGCTTGAGCCCATCTGCAGCGCCCCAGACATGTTGTTCTCCAAGCCTTGGGTACTTGTCTCCAATTGCCTTAACATAAGCATCCACTTCTTGCTCAGTAGTAGTTGGGACACTGACCATGGCCGCTGGATGTTTGTGAAGGGCAACAAGCATCACTCTCCTTGCAAACTTGAGCCACATACATCACTGTGGATGTTAAGCCAAATGCCATTGCCATTGTCCTTGCTACCAATCCTTGTGTCCTGTACCAGTAAAGGACCAGCCCTATTGCACAGACATTGCAATAGCGCGAAAACTGAAAATTCTCCATTCGGGCCCTCTCCGGGAATCACTCAATGTCCCAGAGCAACAACCCGATATCGCAGTTTCTTTTTCGTACCTGTACGTAATGCTACAAAAATAACAAGCAGTCCAGAGACTTCGCCAGGAACTATGGAACAATCATCGGCGGAGACCCAGAAGCAGCAGTCCCAGTCTAAATGCGACAGAGAAGGGGAAGCGAAGGTAAACAGTGATGGGGATGTCAATTCTCCCCCCCCTCTTTACTTTGGCTATTCTGCGTTAACTGTCTGGCGTGTCGCTTTCTACATAATCATGGCTTATACATGGGGAAAAAGCGTGCTCGGTCCATGTACGTCCACCCCTGAGGTGCAAAAGAGAAGTTCATTATCCACCAGCTCATTCCTCTTTTACTCCGAGAAACTAACTTGTCGTAACTATTTCTTTCCTTTTCGCGATGACGAACCAATTCCATGTTGTGTCCGCATCCAATCACTGCATCGCGATTGCCGCGTTCTTTGATTCATGCTCGAATAAGTCGGAGGTTGGACCGATGCTACGACATACGATCATGCCGAATGGGTGTACGACTTCGCTCCCAAGACGTTTGAAGCAACAGAGAGGCTTCGATGGTTCTCGGTAGCTGTTGCCTTGCTGTCGATCTTCAGTGACACCGCTACCAATATTTTTGCCTTGCTAGCGGGTCAACTCATTTTCACCAACTTGGTCTGCTTCATCAGTGAGTCATACGATATCTTTCACCGTCTGTACATGAGTTGTTGTTGTTCTTGTTGTTGCTGCTGCTGCTGCGTGCCGTCGGTTCTTTGATTGAACCATTTACTCATCCATTCGGTCAAAAGGTCAATTTTTTGGTTATTTGTTCCTGAGATTATATACTTCAGTCTAAAATTTTGATTCATCCATTTTTGCGTTTTGGTGTTTATAACTCTCCAGATCACTATTATCTGTTTTTTCTTTTGGCCACCTTGATGGCGTTTTATTGCAACTGCGGGAAAGACAATGTCCACAATAAGGCTGGTTGGATCCACGCGATACGGGGGCAGATCGTGGTTGTTTATGCTTTTGCATCACTTTGGAAATTCGATTCCGATTGGTTGAATGGAGGTATCGTGGAGGCAATCTTCCTATCGTTTGAGGAACAGGGCGATCATCGAGGAATTCCGTGGAGCGATATAAATGCTTCATACCCCGGCATTTTCTCTTTTATAGCCTTGTCAGGTATCTTTCTCGATTCGATGCTCTTCCTTGTCCTCATGTTCCTTCCGCCGGGACACAAACTACAAGCGCTCGGACTGGTATTTCACGGGTTTACGGCGTATACCATGGCGGAACGCATCGGTTATTCTTTTCCATTAACAATGATTTTTTCCGGATTTGCCTTTCAGCGATCTGACGTGGTCGACAAAGATCAGGAGTCGCTAGGTGGCGATACACTTTCCCATTTTCAATGGCTGTCGCTACAAATACAGTTGTGGAAGCGTGCAAATCAGTGCAAACCAAAACACGCCGTCCAACAGCACGTAGTCAAAACAAAAAAGCAAATTCTTCCGTTGTTGTTTCTGGTCATCCAATGGCTCATTCCTCTCCGAATGCCATTAGTATCACATGGTGAATTCAAGTATACTTTTGAAGGCTATCGTTGGTCTTGGACAATGATGTTACATTCTAAGTTCAATATCAAGAGCCCTGGATTATCGTTCATGAGTCTAAGGCCAAAATGCGGCTCCCATCCGTTTCCAAACCCGCTGGCCAAGGAGTATCCAGTTATGGATCCTCACTCCTTTCCGTATGAGTTTTTCATTATGGACCAAGAGCGTGTTACTTCTGTCCTACAGATGTTTCCCCGCCAAATGCCGAAACTTTCATATTTTGTCGAACAAAAAATTGGGGACCAATGTCCAAAGGTAATGACGATGACAACGTCTTATTTTTGTAAGTTCAATGCAATACATTCTGTAATTCATTATCCTATATCTTTCCTCACGTCATATTTGTCCTTTCTGTGGGGACATTGTGTGGGGCGTTTGGTCAAAAAGCATCAGTAAATGATGGTCCATATCATCGCATCATTGATCCAACATCTGATCTCTTGGAAGTCCATCGAAGCCATTCAAATCTAACGTGGCCATCCAAGCTTTGGTATGCTGTAATTGACAAAGCACCAATAGGTCAAGAATTTGTACTGCGTGGAACAGGTTCTGTCAACCTTCCACTTGCGAGTGGGCCAAAGCGTTTAAAAGACGAGATAACCTTCGTGGACCGATCCCCATGCCTGCAAGTTGATCCAATAAAAGTCCACCTCAACAGTTTTCAAATTCAATTTGAGGCTGATTCCGAGGTTGACTTACGTCTCTCCATCCTAGGATGCCCCGATGCAACTTTCACGAACTGCGAAAGAACATATATCAATCAAGGAGAACAGCTTCGTGTTCCACGTTACCGTACAGTGCTTATTGGGATCGATGAAGATCTTGGCATGATTTGTTCCGAAACTAGAAAAGAGGATGTGGTGATCAAGCTTACAAGTCTTGTGCATTAGCCCAATGATGGAGAAATTAGTGCCTTCGCACAAGTTTTGTACAATTAATTGTCAATGTATTTTGACCTCCATAGTAGAATGCCTTTGTTCCATGTTTTATTTGGACTGATACCCAAAGACGGTTGGATGCAATAGCAGAGCCATATTGGAATGAAATTATGCAGAAATTTTTGAACCTTCAATTAATTGGAAACATAAAGCAGCGTGCAGTGTTATTGTAAGGCATGATCAATATGCTCCGTCTTCTATCAGTGCTTTGGGTGATTATGGCCTTTGTTTTCCCATCCTGTGTGGCATATTTTTGTCACTGATTTTTGCCTCATTTCTTTGTGTTGCTGTTCAAAAAAGACAGAAACAGCAGCAGGTCAAACACACCAGCAACAGCAACAAATAATACATCTGCAACAAGAAAAAAATCTAATTTTCCAACCAATTTACTCACCAGACAATCCCTTTGCATGAATGTCCCCTCCATTTTGCCAGGGTGGTCCTTCCTTAACTGCTTTGTTGCTGTGTTTACATATTTCCAAAATTTAATTGAGCCACCATTTCTTTCTCCTCACAGTCCTCCATGCACTACTGGGAAAGCTGAGAGAGTTTTGTAAAAGTGGGATTGATATTTTGCTATTGCTGTTTGTAATATTGAAATTTCTGTTTCAATATTTCAGTGACCCGGCCATGTATCCTGAAGTGAAATTTTAAATTTTGTCCTTATGAAATGATGATGTAGCATTGTTACTACTACCTAACACTGCTGGCATTCATGATAACAAAGTACTTCCCCCTGCATTGACAAATATTAGTAAATAGCCACTACAAAATGGGTCAATATTTGATCCATATTACAAGAAGAGCCATCATATGATGAGGAGGAATCATGCCCTGTGACACACGGAGGCATAATATGAGGAGGAATCAAAACATGCCCTGTGACAAAGGGACCTTGACAACAAACTTCTTTACTGAACTCAGCCCACTCTAGTAATACCTCTATAGTGCCCCAGTTGTTGTGCCTCTCCTTTGGAGGTATCACCCTTTGGACCGACCACTTCATCTAGGAGCATCCTTCCCCACAGAAGTGATGGTTTTGGCCTTCCCAGTACTATCTCTTCGTCACAAAAAGTGTTCGCGGGGTTTGGTCGCAACCCCGCGCGTTTAGTTTTTGTGCGACCACTTAACACGGTGAAGTCATGATTATCAAKCTTACTGACAACCCCCTATTTGTGATTATTTTTAAGTCACGATGCGCATTCCTTCTGCGCACCAAATTATTCTGCCTGTATTCAACCCATATTCACTCATCCTCCACTCCATATTTTTATTTTGGGGGGTTGTGATACACAACCTCAACTGATACGACAACAGTTCTCCGACCAGGACTCTTGGGT